CGCGTCCACCATAGACTTTGAATGTAAACCTGCTGCTCCTGACGCTGAAATCGCGTTCGGTGTGAACGCACCATTAGACTGAAATGATCAGAAAGTATAAAATACAATACTGCATCTAACATTCAATTAATCAGTTAAAATTTCCTGCTGAAGAACAAAACGATCCATCTGTCAGTCTCACGCTTCATTCTTCCCTCACTTGAGATCAAAATCCCAAGATACTCGAACTCCTCCACTTGAGGCAGAACCTCACTCCAACCCAGAGGCTTTTTCGACTGAGGAGTCAAATCTGGAGGTGCTGGTCCTCATCACAGCTGCTAACCACTGCAGTGTGGGTCTGGCACTTTGGAGTCTGATTTAAAATCTAACGTGATGACCCACACACACACACACACACACACACACACACACACTCGTTTGCACAGCTATCCATTTGGGGACATTCCATTGACTTCCATTACATTTCTACAGCCTAACCCTGACCACAAACCCTAAGGCTAACCTCACAGGTGCCTACCTGACCCTAAAACTAACCTAAACTCAATTCACACCTTGGTCCTAAACACAACCCCCAACCCACCATTGACATTTAAACCAAATGGGGACTTAACTTTTGTCCCCAAATGCACCAGTTGTCCCCAAATGTAGGCATTTTGTCTTAAAATTGCCCCCAAATGTCCCAGAAACAAACCCACACACACATTTGTTCTTCTATACTCATGGGGACTTTCCATTGACTACCATTAATTTCTAATCGTTTATGTAACCTAACCATTACCCTTACCTTAAACCAAACCCCTTCAAGTTAACAACTAACCCTAACACTAACCTACAGCTATATTCATACCTTAGTCTTAAACCTAACCCAAAAATGACATTTTACCATATTAAGATCAGATTTGGTTCTCCAAAAGGACTACTGGTCCTGACAAGGTTGGTGTTTATACCAGAAACGGTCCTAAAAAGGTAACAAAAATCAGGTATAAACACATGAACACGTTTGTGAAAAGCACATATTCCCTTGATTTTACAGGGAAATAAATAAAACGTATACATGTAATAATACCCGTATGAAAAGCAGCTGATTTTCATACAAGTCTGAATAATTAGATTTTTTTCTCTTTTCTATTATTTATTTTCATGTTCCTGCAATCTGCTCATTTAGTTTCCTCAATCTCCAGTCATCTGCCATCCACACTCAAAAAACAAATGTAGTGCATTTAATTTAAAAAATGATGTCAACTGGTTCCACTCAACCAAACTGAAAAAAGGGAACACATTTATTTTACATTTACTTTAAATAAAAGTAAAGTAAATGTGTTACTCAGTTCAGTTGAGTGGAACCAGCTGACGTAACTTTTTAAAAATAAAATCCACTACATCTGTTTTTTGAGTGCATTAGATTAGTAGTCCCCAAAGTTGGGGTCGGGACCCACAGTGGGGTCCCAAAACATTTTTGTCTGAATTAATTACACTAAAAAATGACAACTAACAACAATTTTTTACCTTTGTTGTCACAAAAATGTAAAGTAAGTGTACTTAAAATGGACAAAAAGAGCATAAAAATTTTGTTACTGTGCTCTTGTTTATTTGACATGAAAACAATGTTTATCAACCAACAACAGCTGGGGGCACAGGTCTCCACTGCTGGTATTTTGTGGGTCAAAAGCTGAAAAGTTTGGGAACCACTGCATTAGATGATGTCTCTGGGTGCTGCCATGCCAGGTTATCCTGGGGGCACCTGCTCTCCCTCTCTGCCCCCGTCTGACAACAAGGCTACCCCTACATCACAGGTCACTCAGCTGCCTGAATCAGACTCAAATCTGAGCGTGGCTACCTACTGAATATATCTCAGTTTGTCCATCACATTCTCTATCTCACAGCTAGTAATATTCTATTTTTATATGATCAAAGCATGAAAAACAACAAAGGCACAAAGAATTGTGCTCTTGTTTCTGAAAACAGCTGCAACGTGACACTAGTGGATCATGCAGCTGAAGTTTAAATTTCAATGAACAGATCTGTTTTTAAATGAATTTTTAATATTATTTACACTTTATAATTAACTGCCTCCATTAGTGTTAGTGTAACAAATGTACAAGACTTTATGAAGCATTTAAAGCATTTTAATTACTTACTTCTCCTGATGGTTCAAATGAACTGTAGAAAACAGATGCTAACACATTAATGAAAAGCTCTCTGAAAATAAAACTGCTTTCAGTCAGTCTCAAAATAAGATATTTTTATTAAATAAAGTCCCCCTGTGCAGAGCTGGAAAATGTCTCTGAGGATGGTAAAAATGTAGGTTGAGTGTAAGTGGACATAATATAGGAAGAGCTGAGATGACAGGAACTGTTTGTTGTGATCAAAGCTTTTACTCTCTACAAAAAAATAAAAGCTATAATTGTAGAGGTTTCTATCATATTAGTGGTGAATAAGACCTTGATATGAACTGAACAGATAAGCTAATGTGGTACAGTGTGTTTGTCACAGTGCTGGCCAGTATTTGCATACAGAGTGATACAAAGTTTAATCAACTAGAGATGCTCTTTGTGGCTCTGGGAGCAGGGGGAAGCTTTGCTCCACTTCAGCTGAAAGACCAATGATAAAATGAGAAGAAAATGGAAACTTGATTATATCTTTAGGAAAAGAGCAAATAAGGCCAAAATAAGCAGGTTTTCCTCACAATACAAGTTTTATTAGCTCGCAGCAAAACCCCACAAGGTCTCGTTCCTGTTATCACACACAAGTTTGTACAATTAAATCATGTGGGGGAGTAATAAAACTAACATTTCATGAACAAATTAAAAACAAAATTAAGTTCAATAACACAACCACTGATCTAAAGAGCTTAAATCTGCCTGTAAGTCATCTACAACGAATTTCAGTCTTTTTGGGAAAATATGTTTCTCTAAAGGTTTTATAAAAGCAGAAACTAGAAAATGTTTTTTCTTATATAAAATAAAAAAGTGCTTCACATTTTAATATAAAATTCACTATAGATTTCCTCATTACAGTAAAACTACTTTGTTTTGTTGATAAGTTGAACAGTTTTCAGCTTTACCTGAAGTTTGTATTCATATTTTGAAACTATACCAGAACTGTGCAGAATTATTATTTTTCCACGTGAATATCTGTCTTTCATTCAGCTTTTTTATTTATTTTACTACATGTTTTTAGGTGGATGATTTTACTGAAGTGGGACATAAACACATTTCCTTTGTGGTTGTTCTACATCACACACTTCCACTGAGCACTCTCCATCAGTTATTTACTGACATAACTTAATGAAAACCTTGTTCCCGCAAATCATGCACATTATGTAGACATTATTTGTTCAGTTATAAACTCTCTGCTTGGACTTAAATGTTGTAGTTTCTGAGCAATGGAACGCTCTCCCTTTGGTCTCACACTCAACGACATGAACACCAAACAGGAAATACTCTTTTAAAGGTGTGAAAACCAGACAAAGGGAAATGGGCAGAGCTGTATTACATTAATAGACCTTTAATACTTCAAAAACCAGAAGAGTCAAAGTCCTCACCTGCCATTCCAGGGTTGGCTGAGCTCTGAGGCAGAAGCTGGTCATTGGTGATGGTCAGGGTTGCACCTGTGTGTTGGTTGGTCAGTGGTGATGCTAGCCTGATCCCACTGCTCATGTCTGCACCAGTAGAACTGGCATTTGGAGTAAGTAGGTCCTGGCCTGTGGGTAAATTTGGAAAATGTTGCATAATTAGAAAAATTATAACATACTTTTAAATGTTAAGAAAACAAGCAGAACACTGATGTCCTCCTGTTACTGAGAGATTTGAATAATGAATATTTGTAGTTATTATTGCAGAAATAATACTTCAAACCAAATCAATCCAGAAAGTTGTGTACCAATCAGTTTATTTTACTCAGAACAATGGGCCTCATGCAAGAACATGTTCGTATTCTTATCCTAAATTTCTCTTACTTTTGTTCGTACAAAGGGTTCGTACGAACATGTCAC